TTAGGGTTTTTAATTAATAACATTACAGTTTTAAATAGTCACTAATTTGCATTGAAATGGAAGAAATATTTACATGTTACTCAACAAAAATACTTTGCTTCTGAACAAGAGTAGTTTTTACTTTTTTTCCCATTACTACAAACACTAAGGCAGGATACATGTTCTGTGCATTTGGAATTATGAGTAGGTAAGGTACATATATCCTGGACTTTTAAAATTAGAATTATTAGATCAAAGTATATATAGATTTTAAATGTAAATATACTGTTACTTGGTTTTTCCAAAAGGTAGTATAGATTTACTTTTTTTTTTCCCTTTTTTTGAGACAAGGCAGACTAGTTCAGGCAGCCTTGAATTCACTGTGTAGCCCGGGCTGGCAGTCCTCCTGCCTCAGCCTCCTGATTGCTGATAGAGTCACTGTTTAACAGGGATATATAAGAATGCTCATTCATTGTCTCGTTTTGGCCAGTTCAATGGGAAGTATGGTTTTACCAGGTAATTTTACACTGTAAATACACCCTCTTGTCCTCTAGCAAATTCATGTGCTCTTTGCTACTGTTTTCCCTTCCGCTGCTCCATAATATTGTAAGATCCCTGAATTGCAGTTTCAGACAGTTGTAAATTTGGGATTAATCTTTATAAAGAGAGTAGTAATGTTCCTCCCCTTCCCCCATTATCATTTGTGCTGTATTTATTGCTTATTTTTCTGCTGAGGCACATGAATACAGAGGCTCTTTTATTTTAAAATTTATTTTTATTTTTATTTTTGTTTTTGTTACCGGGGATTGAACTTGGGACCTTGCGCATGTGAGGCAGGCAGCGGAACCACTGAGCTAAATCCCTGGCCCTATTTTTTGTTTTTTTGAGACAGGGTCTGGCTATGTGGTTTAGACTGCCCTTGAACTCACTATGTACCCCAGGCTGGCCTCAAACTCGAAGCGATCCTCCTGCCTCAGTCTCTTGAGTGCTGGGATTACAGGCATGCGCCACCATGTATGGGCCAGGCTCTTTTAAAAAGACAGCTTCTTTTCATATCAGATCTTCAGTATTACGAAGAAATCATAATGTATAATTTCTCATCTTTAATCACTTGATCACTTTAACTGCAGTTGCTGCATTAAAACCAAATGATAAATAAGTTAAAGAGAAGAATAATGGTAGAATTTTTGGAGTAGGGGAAGAGGGAGAGTAGGGAGGACCTACTAGAGAAGGATTGGATTTTGAGCATATAACAGTTTAATAGAGAAGATGTTAACTGTCAGTCTTTTTCCTTACCAGTGCTGGATCGCCCCCTAGGGGAGAAAAGGCGAAAGTGCGACAGTAGGCCCTGGCCCAAGCCCATACTGTGTGGGCCAAAGCTTGCACAGTTGGAATCTCTGGTGGGCGTTATTCCGCTTGCCTCAGGGTAGTGAAGTTGAAACCCAGACAGGTGAAGCAACTTGCATAATAAATAGTTTGTGCCGGACTCCTTGTAAAAGTTTTGAACAAATTAAAGCTGATGCATGAGTTTGTGCTGTTTTTGTTTTAGAGTGAGGGGGAGATTGTATGTCCTATTTTTGTTTGTTTGTTTGTTTGTTTGTTTTTTGGGTACCAGGGATCAAACTCGGGACCTTGCTCTTGCGCAGCAGGCGCGGGAACCACTGAGCTAAATCCCCGGCCCTGTATGTCCTATTTTTAATATAGTAATGAAACTGGCATACGTGTTCACCTCATCCTTAGAGGTGAATTAGCTTGATAAGAAGGTTTGCTGCTACTTACTCTGTAATGTGGGCCAACACTTCCTCAGCTGGGCTAAAGTGCAGAGGAGATATGTGAATCTACTCAGCAGTAGCTTAATAGAAATGTGCTCGCCAAGGGGTGGCTCCAGTAGGACTGTCTTCTTCTCCCTGACATAAACTGATGAGTGTGAGATCGGGCACAGAGAGGGTGCCCCGTGCTGTGGATGGGTGTTCAGGTACTTGGCACAGCCAACTGGTACCGAGCCTTCCTTGGTGGTGCATTCACCAAGCACTTAGCGTCTCCCTGCCTCCTGCCCCAGCTCGGAGGTAGCCATTGGCACCACCTTACTGATGGATTTGGCTTTCTGTGACATTAGCAGTTGGTGGCAGTTTTCTTGGTAGGCCACTTTGGTTCTGCTAGTTCTAACTGTTGGGTCTGTAGGACGGGTCTGTTTCATCGCCTGCTGCCACACTTTTCATAGCAGATGATGAGGTTCGAAATCTGCCTCGCCATTATAACACTTTCGTAACCCTTAACCTGGAAGGTGCAATTTCAAAAAGTCATAACGATTTAAGGAAGGTATGAACATTTTAGGACCAAAATAGCTCAGAAAGTTAAAAATGTAAGTTTGCATTTCAAAGGTACAAACTTTTACTAGGATATGTATCAATGATTTTTATACTTTTTTAAAAAAAGAGTAAAATGGGCTGGGGATTTAGCTCAGTGGTTCCGGTGCCTGCCTCGCAAGCGCAAGGTCCTGAGTTCAATCCCCGGTACCAAAAAAAAAAAAAAAAGTAAAATGTAGATATCATTGGTCAGTCCACAGATAATTTTCCCCTTTTTGCTAACCAAAAATCTACTAGTTTGGGGCCAGGGATGTAGCTCAGTGGTTCTGGCGCCTGCCTTGCAAGTGCAAGGTCCCATACCAAAACAAAACAAAAAACCAAACCCAAACTGTTTTGTCTTATGATGACAGGTTTACTGTGTAGGGTGGTAAATGGGGTGTCTGTATGCGAAAAGGTTACTTTCCTTTTTAAATGGAAGTGATAAACAGGTATGCAAGAATGGTAGTGCAGGCTAAACTTTATATTGATCTCAACATGCATAATTACGTTATCTTTCCAAATTCTAACTTGTTTTAACTATCATATTGTTTTGTAACATACAAAAAAGTGTAACTATACAAAGACTTCACTTCACAAATGTAAATAGTTTTGGTTTGGTGTGTATTGGATACAATGGTCTTCCTTAAGCCTAAATACAAAGACAAAAGCATGCATTATAAGAGAAAGTCCAAGATGGGAAGTGATAAAATGGGTATCGAGTGGAGCTTTGTTAAAATTTCGCTGGTATCCTTGTAAAATTTCCATGTATTCATTAAATCATATTATGTCATTCTTATTGTTAGGTGCTGACTTGTAGTTTTAAGCCGTGCCCTCATAGACTTGTCACAGTGTTTAGGATAGTTGGAAGATGCAAGTTTTCTTTCCACTCTTTGGATGTAAATATTTGAATAGCTACTGGTTGAGGTTGTTGATTGAGTAGTTTTATATGTATTAGTGCATACATTATTTCAGTTGTAAATGTGAGTTATAGAAGGTCATGATCTTAGTTGCTGTGGATGCTACAGATTTGAAAATTTAAAAATGTTTTTTTTCCCATTAAGTTTATTGGTACATTTTAGGTATAGAATACAGTTACAGTCATCATTGGGATCTTGTACCTTTGCATGATGTATCTTGGATGAAAATAATAAAATGTTGAGCTTGTTAACTGGTATTGATAATTCAGAATCTTTGAATATCCTTTGTATGGTCCTTTTTTTTTTTTTTTTGGTGCTGGTAATTGAACCTAGGGTCTTTGCGCTGAGCAATATCCCCAGCTTTTTTTTTTTCAATTTTTTTTTTTTTTTTT